CAACTCCGGTGCAGGTGAGAGCTGTGCCGCTCAGGGGGAGCGGTGCGGAGGAGGAGGAACCGTGGGCTTTAACCTGCCGGCCGCACGGAGAGACGGACTGCTCACCCCCACCGCCCGGGAAGACCTGCTGCCGCCCCGCCGCCCAGAAGACCACTGCTGGCACACTGCCGGCCCAGCTGCACCACACCTGGCCGGCATGCGCTTGGCGCGCCCTGCTCCGCCCCCCCCTCCTCCAGCGCCGGTGAGAGCTGTTAATCACAGGTCGGTGTGTGTTTTCAAATGGCAACCCGTCTTTTAATGAAGCCCTTGGGGAAGCGATGGGGAATGTGCCTGTGATTATCAGGAAGCTTTCCATGGATCCCTCCTCTAAAAACTAGGTGCGTCTTATGGTCAGGTGCATCTTATAGAGTGAAAAATACGGTATCTGACCATCAGCAGAACCCTTTCAGAACACTCATCACTGACTGTATTTGCTTGCTTGACAGTGTAATTGTCTTATAGTTGCAAGCTAAGCCAGGGCATGCTTTACCCTTGGCACACTGCGGCAGTGTTGAAATCTTAGCGGGAACTCCTGCGGTTCTAGAGTGGGTCCCTCCCATCCGGCCTAGAGTTGTGTAGCTGCAGCAAGGTCACTGGGAACTGGTGTGTTGAAAAGCAGCGCTTTCCCTCACCAGCTAGTGGGCAACCCTTAAGAATAATTTCTAAGCTGATTTTAAACTCCCCTGGAATCCATGGAAGGCATTAAAATGCATGTGTGAGCTTGCCTGTAATAGCTATGGCTTCAAGACCACCAAGGGGTGAGGGGAGGTGATCCCATACCAAATAAAAGGGAAAGTGAAGAGAAGCAGTGGCTGATATCCGGGAAGCTAGCTGCTTTGGAGGTCTTTTCTGCTGTTGAAATTAGATAAGGATGTTGACTCTGGTTCATAGGAAGCTAACAAATTACTCAATGCTGAAAAGGCTCTGCCGGTTCTGGTTTTAGCAGCAAGAGTTGGGGCAATTTTGAATAGCTAGTGGACCACATGAGTAATGACTGAGGAGCAGAGCACTATGGCAAAATAGCATAATTCTCTGTACTGCCTAACCTTGGAAAGGGGTACGTACGGGATCAGCCAAGAAGCAATTTCCTCATTCAGCTCCGAGAAGACATTTCTTGACATAGACACCTAATGAAGCCCCCTGCACCTCTGTGCTTTGGATGGGTTAGACTACAGGTTCCATCATCCCCCATCAACTAGGCTGTGCTGGGGGAGGATGGTAGGACTGTTACCCAACACAACCGCTGTCTATGCTATTTGTCTGAAATAAAGCTCGTCATCTGTGGCATTGCGGGAGGCGTTGCTTGAGACCTTTATTCACATCATTCCTGTTACCGGGAATGGCAAACATCTCTTAATGATAATACAGTGCTGTTTATTGCTACAATTCTTTTCTCCGGCAACTGTGTCTGCATGAACCTCCTAATTACCATTGTGTTTAGTCCCTACTGATCTGGATGCTAAGGTTAAGCTCTTCTCCAAAAGGTTTCCCTAGGATTGGTAGGAACAAATGGTGCATTGTTCTTTTAACACTATTGTTTCTATTTTGATGGCTGTGTGTTTATTTTCGGCTGCTGTTGTCAAGTTTCAATGTTTAGCGTTTATGATGCAAACTGAAAGGGCTTTAAACATGTCCAAATGTTATTTTAAATTGTTGCAAGGCATTTAAAACTTTGTAGAAAAGGTGGGGTTTAAATAATAGGTCCCACACCTGTATTAGCTTAGGGCAATAGTTCTCAGATATATTTCCCAGCAAAACCAAGCGCGTCACTTTCTGAACTGTCAGCCTGGGCGATCCTTTGTTCACCAGCACAAACTCATTGGCACAGGTGGGTCCTGGACATTTGTGGGCTGTTCTTTAGTCAGCCACACGTGTCTTTGCATGTTTCTGGAGCGCACGACCCATGTTCCTCTCCCCCTTTGCCCTTTGACATTCCATGCTCTGCAACCCCTTCTGTGCTAGCACAACTGCAAAACTATGTAATATATTATTATTATGTATGTTTTGTGTATTCTTTGTGAGCCGCCCCGAGGCTTTGTTGCGATGGGGGCGGCATAGAAATGTTTTAAATAAAATAAATAAACTGTTTGCCAACCCCAGTTAAAACACACACGCCCGACACGCGCAGGCCCTGTGCTTCAAATCCACCTAAATCGCAGCACCATCTTGAGTACGGAAATAAGACAGGATTTGCGCCTGCAGCCTGCATCACCCGCTGTTCTCTTGGGTGGTCTTTGGGGTGGGTGGGCTGCCAAGGCCCTGGACTTGGGCCTCAAGGTCCACTCCAACCTGGATCACACGCACCACTATTCTAAGATGGAAATTTACTCCGAAGTAAGTGCCTTTGTGGCGCTTTCTTCTAAAACACGGATATGCCCATGATCGCTGCCTTTCTAACAGCACGGAACGAAGGACCGTGAACAGCCCTGCTCAAACTGTCTGCAGCAGCTCTGTTGCATCACCACAAACTGGGTGCTTCCTTGTCCATGGCCAGGAGTCCAGCCCATCCACCACCCCAGAGGATGCCCCAGGCAAGAGCTGGCTCCCAGGTGAAGAGCATCAGTCTCGACTCCTGTAAGGTGAGCAGGGCTGCCATCAGAGGTCGGCATGGCTGTGCGGACACACACACTCTAGTGCGTGCCCGCAGGCAAATGGCTCGTGCTTGCTCTTCTCCTTCACCCCCGCATCCTCCTGGCTCCGGTTCAGACAACTGATTTGCAGAGGAGGACTGCAGTAGTGCTTCTTCTGCTCGTTCCTGGGCTCTCTCCTTGTTAAGCAAGCACATGGTAAGGAGGATGGGAAAGAGGACGAGGCAGTACAAGGCTGGGCCGATCGTCGAGGGCCTCCCACGAAAGGTGTCTTTTCCAAGGGCTCTCAAAAACCCAGAGGTGGTGTTGGGCAGAGTGACCGTCCACCCAACCCTAGCCAGCAAAGCCAAGAGATGAGGGCTGATGGGAGCTGCAGGCCGGTTGGAGTTATCGTGTTGTGTGAACCCAGCCAGGGAGCATCCCTCTTGTGCTCCAACGCCACATTGCTTCAGACTGCAGGCAGGGGCTGATGTGGCCAAGTATTTCTCCATGCCAAAAGAAGCCAAGATGCCGCACGGGGAACGGTAGCACGGCAAGCAGCATGGCACGGGAGACTCACTCCTCCCCCCCTTGGCATGCTAGTGTTTATGTCCAGCCAGGGCTGATGTGATGGCGTGCACCTCCATCTAAAACAGCAACAACGACGCACTGAACTTAGACAACTAGCACGTCAGAGAGGAGGCTGGTTTTCGCCATGCGGATGAAGGTGGGTATGAAACATCCGGTGGGAGGAAACTACTCATGTGCCAGGTAAAAGCTGTGGGTCAGAATGCTTCTCCCTGACCTCCAGTTTCCTAGGGGGCCAGAATCTGAAATGCTCTTCTCTCTAAATCCACGTCATTTTTATGCACCTTCATCATCTTTGTCGTACGGTGACCCTATCAATGAAAGCCCTCCAAAATCTCTCTCTCTTCCTAGCCCTGCTCAGCTCTTGCAAACTCAAAACTGTGGCTTCCTTTATGGATTTGATGCATCTCCTATTTGGTCTCCCCCTTCTTTGGCCTTCGATGTTCCTTACCATGATTGACCTCACCAGTGACCTTCTCCTTTTCAGGATGTGCAAGAGCTTCTGTTTCAACTTGTTTCCAGGGCAAGTTCTGGCTTGAGGTGACCCAAGGCTGTCTTGTTCATCCTTCCGTCAGTCCAGAATATTTGCAATATCTCCTCCTGCACAGCAGTTCGAACCCACCCAGTTTCTTCCCGTCAACTGTTTTTCGCTGCCTGGCTTTCACGCCAGGCATCGCTAAATTCCGCAGGTAGGAAATCCACACCACGCCGGCTAGCAGCCGAGGGTAGGACCGGGGAGTTTTGTGTGCCAGATCGGCAGGGGCCGATATGGCAAAAGCTTCTCCGCATCTCCCTCTCTTCCAGCCGCCAGTCCCCGTGGAAGGAAAACTAGCGGCTCAGGACCTTCCCCCAGACCAGCCCTGCCAGCTTTCTGCGCCCAGGGGCTTTGCAGTGCAGGCGTGCGCAACACGCTCGTGTGTTGCCCGGCGCGGGGTGCACAGACCCAGCGGGGAGGGAGCGAGGGAGGTGCACGGACGCCGCGCTCGCGGGGACGCCTGGCGGGAGCGAGCGGGTCGGGGGGGGCACCTGCGGCTGCGGCGGGCCGGGGGGCGGGCAGCGCTCGGCGCCGCCTTCGCGAGGCGGAGCGGCGCGGC